GAAATATAGAGCTGAGCGTATTTCTTCGATCCCAGAGATCGGATAAAAATTTACGAGTACGTTTGCTCCTGTTGGGCTCCATACCATGGACTGAAGTTTGGTTTCTGGATCGTATTTATAGAACCAAGATTCGTACAGCCATGATATTCAAGCCCAATTGCTTAGCAATCATTTCTTGTGTCAATTGTGGCAGAATTGCAGTCACTTGATCAGTGGAAAATTTTGGTCGGAGCTGGTCCTCTAAGGAAAAATATCCGATCTGGAATCTTCGGAACGACTTAGAAATGGTCCCTAAAAACGGTGCAATCGTTCCATATGCAATTTGGCATTCAGTGAATATTTGTATCGGCTGTAAGTTACGCCGAAGCCCGAAGAGAATCACATGGCGAGTTTCTGTTTGTGTTGGTGATGGAATTTCGTCAGGACTATCTTCAGGTCTCGTGTTTTCTCGTGTCCCTTTTAGCCGATAGTTTTGAAAGGATGACTAATAAAGTAATTGCAAAGAATTTGGTATTTTTAGAGTTAACTAAAACCAACTGATCGAACTTTTGTGGACTCCCTCGTATTTTTGCCCATAGTTCATAGGTGATACAGAGAGTCTCAATAAACAAATTATTATTTGACACATTTAACGCGAAAAACTTGATGTCTCGCCAAAGAAATGCATGCGAAGCATCAACCAAACTTTGAAAAAAATTTCGAACTCGTAGCCTTGACCTCCTGCATAGTAGCACTCACTGCCACACAAACATGCGGCACCAATTTCATGTATTAGATTACATAATTTCAATGCAAATATTCCTCTTCATAGCGGAGCCTGATCAAACCATATCGTTCAGTAGAACACAACTGAGAAAAAAATTTTATCAAATGGAATTTGTTTTCGAAAATTACTTTAGAAATTTCACAGAAATTGAAATGAAAATCATATTGAATTAACATATTAATATTATTGAATAAAATACCTCAGACATGACATTAATGTGCTAATAACTTAAATCATGATTTACTCTTAAATACCACAATATCAACAGCCAAACTGAAGTAATTCATAATCAAATACGCTTCTGTGAAGAAATTTAGTCGTAACAAATTAAGTAAGCTCATTAAATAACACGACAAAATCCCAACAATTCAATTGAAATTAAAGTAAGAATTTACAACAATTAAACGATTTTCTATGTATGTAAATAAGCAATTATACATGTAAATAATGAAAGGCAACTCGTGCGTATGCATGTGAGTGACGATCGCGAATAGATTGCTCGTGAAATTATTGCTTCTAATAATCGCAAATCAACCCTTTAACTCATTATAATCATTTGAAATGTTATCAAGATAAAAGATATTCTCGGCTATCTGTAATTACGAAGACAGCACAAAATCATCAGCTCCCACGCTTACTGCTTATTGCTTATAGACATTCAAAACAAACGGCTTCCCCAAAAATGTTAGCAACAACAGTAACTACACCGGCATGCACTTGTCACGTGTTTTCAATTTCACACCAACGCAATGACAATCGTTAATCAAGTTTTGTAGATGTGTGCTATTTTAAGGTGACCAGATATTATTATTATATTCTTATTATTTTATTTTACTTCATTTTGCTTTAACTTGATTTTTTCTTCATTTTTATTTTATTTTTTTTTGATATTTTATTTCATTATCATTTCGTTTTATTATTGTTACTTTATTTTATTTTAATTTACTTAATTTCATTATATTTTATTCTACATTATTTTGATGGCCTAATTTTTTATATATATATTTTTTTATTTAATTGTATTTTTTTTCTGCATTATTTTATTTAGCGTATTTTTGCTATTTTAATTTATTTTACTTTAATTTACTTAAATTTTGTATTTTTAGTCTATTTTATACAATATAAAATATATATTTTTAATATAAATATATATGTATATTTGGTGCTTTGTAACCGCTAGGGCAATTTTCGGGTGGAGCTCCTCCTCCAACCTACAGTCCGCCTCCAAATGGCTGATGGTTTTTTTATGAGGAGTTTTATTTATTCTAATTTCTTTTACTTTATTTTTATTAATTTAGTTCTTTGATATTATTTTATTATGTTTTATTTTACTTATTTTTTTTATTTATTTTTTATTTGGTTTTTTGATTCGATCTGAAATTATTTGATTTTATTTAATTTTTTTTTCTTAATATTATTTTATTTTTTGTTATGTGTTATTTTATAATATGTTATCCCATTTTTTATTACTCAACTTTATTTTATTTTATTTTAAATTATAATATTTTATTTTACCTCATTTTACTATTATTTTATTTGACTTTATTTTGATTTGCTTCATTTTTTACATATATTTCTATTTTTTATTTTATTTCTTTGAGTTGATCGAATATTATTCGATTTAAATTATTTCAAGCTTATGTGTTTTACTTGATGTTATTTTATTTTACTTTATTTTATTTCATTTATTTTTTTTAGGTTTATTTATTTTAATTTAATTTAATTTTTTATATAACATCATCCTTTTTTATTTTATGTATTTTTTTTATTTTACTTCAAATAATTCTATTTTTTTCGTTTTATTATAATTCATTTTATTTTATTTCATTTTACATTATTTTTATTTAAACGATTTAAGTTATTTCCTTCAATAAAAATATTTTACCCTTATTAAGATAGATTTTTTTTGTAATTTTTTAATTCTTTTTTTTAATTAATTAAATTTTTAATTAATTGTCAAGTCATCTGGTCACCCCTACAAATCAAGTAACAAAGCACAAATCATTTAGTGACGTCACATTTTACTTTGTTGTTTTAAAAGTGGTTGGTATACAAAACAAACAAATTTTACTACTTTTTTATATATGTGTGTGTATTTTTGTATGTACATAAGTATATACATATATATATATGAAGAGTATTTTTGTATCAACTTTTCGAATATTGCGCTGATTATATTTTTTTAACTTTTTCTGAATGAATTAATATTAATGAATGTATTCGCTGTGGCTTTGTCTGAAGCTATTTATAACTTTTTTAATATCTTTAAGCGGAACTTTGTTTGAAATCACTGTATACGATTTTCGAATGAATTGACGCTATTTGGTGTCTTATTTGATGGCTAAGTTGTATTATCGTCTTTGTATTTACATTGCAAATTGTTTATTTATTTTATCCAACTATTTAGTATTTATAATCAAAGCTCATGTCAACAAACTGCAATTTACTGTGACGGGGTGACAGAAAAAACTGGCCTCGAGAATAATTTTGGCTTACCCTACAAATACAAGTATTTCACTGCTAAATTTTTTTGTTAAAACAAAATTTGCATATCAAGAACAGATTTTCTAAATTATTGTTAGTAATTAAAAAAAAAAAGATGGAAAAAAAATTTTTGGAAGAAAGAGATCAGTGAAGTTAGATGATCTTATCGCTTACTGGAAGAAATAGTAGGCTTTGTCTTGACAGATGGGCAGAATATGAATTTGCATATCAAGTTTACAGAAGAACCTGATCGAGTTAGTTAGTTTATACAGATATTACATATGTCAATATTTTGTCTATCTAATTACCATGCTAGAGTTTGCATTTCATTCACATTCGGTATGAAAAGTGGATGGTCGTTTTATTGTAAACTTCTTTGGTTTGGTCTTTATTCGTCGAGAATGTCACCAATGTTTTGGCAAGAGGCATTCTGACATTGTCATTTATGTTAATGCTGGTTCCGTAGTGGATAAAATTATTTTTACTGTCTACGGTGACGTGGGAGCCGAACCATGAATACGGTGACTCCTTATGTTAAAGAAGATTATGTTTCATCTTATCCTCGCTCCCTACCAGACACTTTCAAGGAAGCAGAAAGCAGAAACCACAACAAGGTTTTTGAAGCCACTCCCATAGAAGAATGCACTGTAATAGGCTATCTTCGCCTAAGTGCCGCAGTATCGTTGATGTCCTTGGCAGCCGCAATAGTCGAGCGGTTAGCATTGCGTACTGCCATTCTGAAGGCGAAGGAGGAGTTCAAGTCCGGATTCGAAAAACATTTAAAATTATAGAAAATTAATTTTTTATTGCGGTTGCCCCTCGTCAGGGAATGAAATTCCGTCTGAGTGTATTTCTGGCATGAAATAAAAGCCTCTCTATTTGTTGTGAAAACATCGAGACGTATACCTCAATTTGGAGGAGGAGCTCAGCCGAAAATCACTTAAGCTTTTAGCGAGTCACTATCGATGTGTGTAGTCTGGTGTTGTCCTGATCAAACACAATGGCCCTTTTTATTATTTGATCGACATTTTGGACAATTGATCTTGCACACCGTGGAGCATAATTTATATCGAAAATTCCGGAACGAGTTCGAAGTAATCAAAATTGTGCATGATTGACTGTTACAGTATCAAGACCTTAGGTTCAATTCACATTTTTAGGTGCCGGTCTTGGGTTTTCGCCTGCATTAAGGAAAAATTGTAGAATATGGAATAAATTATTTTCTTTGATGGTGTCCATCATTGATATCCGCTCGAATACTATTGAGTGATCAACACTTCTCCCATTACCCATTTTGGTAAAAAATATCATCTTTCCAACTACATCCAGCTTAAGCCAAAGGCACTTATAGAACGCGAGATACATTCACCACAGCCATCTATTGCAAAAATAATGTTTTACATTTTACTACACCTAGAACGACAAAGTATTAACAAATACAACAAATACGCGAAGCCTGTTCTCAATACTTGTAGGTGTTTAGCTTGCTTATGTATATGTATATGTATATGTAGATCAGTACCATTGAAACTGACACAAACCATTTAACCGACAAGAAAGTTCGAGCAGAGATCTTCAATATTAGTTAAATCATTATCACATTACAAAACGACACACATACAAGCGAAACAATTTGAATTTCTTGAAAAAAAAAAACATTACCATACACACCAACAAAGATATTCGCACAGCAATTTGTATACATAGTAGTTATACATTTCGAAACTGCAGCATTCGAGTATGTGACGGCGGCACGTACGGTTTGGCAACTCGCGAAATTCCGCTCCGAAAATATTTTTCTACTTAACTACAATACATACTTTTATTACAAATAAATTGTTGTTGTAATTCTAACGAGTGTGAAGGCGTATGTATGAGAATATTTCTATTGAAAAGTAATATTTCCGTTTAACGACTGTTTGGCAAGAAAAAAAAGTGCAGTTCACGCGCAAGTAAATATCCGTAGTTTCAACTAACGATTAAAAAAAAGTTACTCGAGTTTTTAAGTGCCAAAAAATTGTATTGTAATTTATTGAGAAAAATTGCTGGGTAAAATGCGCTCACAGAAATCTAGCACGGACACGCCCACCCTAGAGGGTTACGACAATTACGGTTCCGAAGTGACCTTAGATATACCGCCCAGTGGCCTCTACACAAGCTCCAGTGATTGTATTGTTGACGAAGCAGATCCGAAAGCTGAACGTAATTGTTGTACAACCACCAATGAATGGCTGAAGGATACTGCTTCGAATGTGTTTCGTAAAAAGACACTCTATAAGCGTCTGCCGATCTGCGAGTGGCTGCCGAAATATAGTCAGAATGACTTCATTGGTGATTTAGTGGCCGGTATAACCGTCGGTTTAACTGTGATACCTCAAGGACTAGCTTTTGCGGGCATAACGGGCCTGGAGTTGCAAGTGAGTGAAATTATCGTTGTGATGTAGTGGAAAGGAAATGCTTTATAAATTGTGTGAAAAGGACAAAAATCAAATAATTATTGAAAATTACATTATATTCTATAAGCATAAAAAAAGGATATGCGAAAAATTTGTAAAATGGCTTAAAAGTATCAAAATCAGGCAAAAAAAAATAACAGATTGTCGGCGGAAAAAGGACTCTGTAAACACCAAGGCAGCTCATAGTATGCAAAAATGCCAATAAATATCAAATAAATTTAAAATTTGGTGTAAATGAAATCTATTCAGATTTGCAAAACAAAAGAAATGATTTTCTTTGTTAATTTTTTAGAGGCATTTTTTTTTATAAATTAATAAAAAAAACAATTAATAGACAGAATTAAATGCAGTTTAACAATAAATTAATCATTTAAAAAAATATTGGATCCTCTCGTTTCTGTAGCCGATCTGCCAAAGGGCCTGCAAAAAAAGGTGTCCGGCGTTGAGGAAAATATTTCTGCTGCAAATTATCTGTAACCCGAAAACCAAAAAAATTTGGTATTATAAGGGATGAATACAGGTAGCGATCGAAGGAATAGGGAAAAGTTTGATTTTTTAAAAAGTCACGGCTTCAAAAAAAAGGAAATCATATTTCGGTGAGAAGTTCTACAAAGTGGCTTAAAAAATCGAAATTATTGTAAAAAAAAAATTTATTCCTTCGATCTTGACATAACAAATCTGTCTTAGAAAGTCGTGTGAAAATTTTAGGTAGATTGGCTTAGCCGTTTCAGGGAAGGTTTTTTCACCGACTCTGAAAATAGCGCTTCGAGAAAAACGCAGTTCAAGTTCTGCAAACCATTTACACTAAGTTAAACTGCTCCGCCTTGCGCTTCGCTTATTTTCGAACGCCATAAGACGTATTTAATGATACGATCATATCTCCGAGACTGTCGGATCAACTTCAGATTTTGGAAAAATATTCTGAAATATGAATATGTGCTTTCGAAAATTTAAAAAAAATAAATTGATTTTTTTGAAAATTACAAGTAGATATAAAGCCTTAAAGCACTGCTTAGTTAGTTAGTTATTTCATTAGGTTGTTTAATAACGGGTTTCCCTGCTCAAGTGCACTTTTTAGATGCTGAAACCTCATGGTTTGTTTTAAGAAGCACCCGATATTATTAACCCTCTCTAACGTTCCAACAGTGGTAGAGGTAGTGTTCCAAGGACTACTCTTCGCATTTATCTTGACAGCATACAGCCGAGAGTTTGTTTAAGGTTTCCCTACAACTGGCTGCCACTTTTGAAGTGGTATGATTACTATGAGAAGATTTAATGACAGTTTTGCTGTGACTGGTTGAGACCAGAGTTAAGTAACCATGGCACGGCTTTCATAATTGCGAATAGTTTAGATTAAAAGATTCTGACGCATGTCGATTGCAAGTGGTTCCGAATGAACTCCGTAATCTACACTGCCTTTAAGTTGTGAGCCGTCAGTGAAGACGTTTTCCTATTCATTGCTGTCGGCGATTTTTTTTTTTTTTTTTTTTTTTTTTTTTTTTTTTTTTTTTTTTTTTTTTTTTTTTTTTGAGAATAAATTGCGTTTGACTTTTCAAAAGAAAAAAGGTAGGTAGACGTCACTCCGTAGACCCTCGACACGAAACAATGCCCCCACAAAAGTTTTTTTCAATAAAATCATTATTTTGGCAATAAATTTGCATGTTTTGCAAACGTTGGTCCGGAATGAGTGTGTTAATTATGAAATGACAAAAAAATCTTAGAATCAATAATCAAAAGATCTACACCGAAAAAGTATTGTCTCGTTGAATACCACACTTATAAAATAAAGCACCCTTTACAAATCACATAATTTGTGCAAATAATAATTTCTTGTTAATTTCAAAATTAATTTTGTGTTAAAAAAATTTGAAAAATTAGTAAAAAGGAATGAACATTTTGAAATTATAAACTGATTAAAAGTGAAATTTTTACATCCAAAATATAAAGTATTTCCGATATAGAAATATTGAAAATAAGTGCACAACTGTTAAATATAAAAAAATGTATAAATTTCAATGTAATCAGTCAAAAATTGTGATTCCAAAAAAAAAATTTCACTTTTTTATTTGATGTTTTAAAACATGTAGAAAAAAAATTTCAGGGGTGTACACATTTGAAAATCCCTAGCTCGAATCTAAAACTTTGTTTGGAAAAACAAATTAATTCGGTCCGTTTATTATCTTCAAAAAGTACATCATACAAAGTATTGATCAACGGAAGCGGTTGCTTTTTCCTATCTCAGTGGGAATTTTCGAATACCACCTACAAAAATGAATCTCCTCTGTTCTCGGTTCAATCATTGAGCCATCCTTCGATTTCTTCAAAAATCTCGAACTGGTGAACTGCTAAACCATCGGAAGGAAAAGTATCTGAAGAATACGGAGTTTTAGCGTTTCCAGTTAGTTTTCATGCATTAGAGCCAAGTGGTGACGGGTAGTGTCATGTTGCAAAATCTCCATCACGCAATGCAAGGCTCAAACGCATTAGTTGTAGTGGAGAACGTTCCGCTTCAATGTTTTCGCCTGGTACTGGGTTGGCCCGTACTTTATTTTTCCTCGACGCTAAATTCACCAACCACGTTTGAAGGAAATGTAAAACCACTCTCCGTATGACTTGAACTTCAACAAACGTGCGATTAACTTCAGTTGCGCTTTACTTCCAATTAAAATACAAAATCAAAAATACCTGCAAATGTTGTTTTTCTTTAACACCAAACCGCACATTTGCGAAGAGACAGAAAACCAAGTTAACAAATGTGAATCCTTTCCAATGAAATAGGTTATCTTTAGGCAGATCGGCCACAACTTGCCGGCGGAGCCATCTATTGAGTACGAACGTCATTAATTTGTAACACCGGCTTCTATGCCATTTGGTGGATAATAGAATTTCTTGTCACATTAAAAAGCAAAATATAACCATAACAAGACTGCAGAGTGATGTGCTAGTGATATTTGGTCCAAATTCGTTCGTTGAAACTTTGAGTCAACAAAAAAAAGAGAAAAAATGGCTACATAAAGTAGAGCTCTCAAGCGGATCAAGGTATCTGATATCGAGAAGATCGAGTAGCTCAGTACTTGGATTACTCAATTGCTCAAATGTTTCTTTGCATAATAATAATATTTTGTATAACATTAGTTACCAATGTTCATTTAAAAGATTGAAATGCAAACAATAAATACCTGTATAAAGAAAATATTCTAGGAATAATATTTAATTTATTTATATATTTATTTTATATAACTTTCGCTCAGTTTGCCGGCTTAACGCATTTATATGCAAATCTTGTTTGAAATTATTATCATTTGCATTTCGAGTTCTTTAATTATATTTCTACCAAAATTAAATTATTTTAATTGGCTGTAGAGCCATCTAGAGGAATTTTGTTGTCTTCTTCTTAACATTTTTATTCATACGAATATTAATATTTCTATATAAAGAACTGCTGTGAGGCACTTTTTTTAGAAGTATTTTAAGTTACTTACGTAAGTATACATATATATTTTATTATCAAGTATGTTAAATAAATTAATATAAATAAATATAAATTAATATTTACATTCCTGAACTAGTTTTGATATGAAGTTGCACAATTTTCTAGATTAAAAATTTTTTAATATAAGTGTTAAGTAAACTAAAGGCCTGGTTTGTTTGTATGAATTGAAGATTTTCGTTATACAACAAAGAAAAATGGTAGAAGTGACAGCTGCTTCAGAGATCACCACATCTCCTGATCAGTCTCCTTATGGCAGGGATCGAACCAACAGATCTTGACTTAACAGGCGAATGCTCTTCCACTGCGCCAACATCAGCCATGCAAAGCCAACTTATCAATAAAAATGGTTATGGATTATCTAAAGGAAACTACATAAAGATTAGGAACAGAAAGTTGGAAGAAGTGATTAATATTCGAGTTGAGTCTGAGCTCATCACGTCTAAGCCCGTAATAATTTACCCTGGCATCAAGATCGATAACCCTTTATATGTTAGAGCTCATATAAAGTATGAGATTTAAACGCCTCAAAAGTCGAAAGCTGACTGCTCTATAACGATTGAGTTCGACGAATGGAGCAATTTTTGTTTCTGGCCTGTAGTAGCTGGTCAAACTTATGTGAAATATCCACAGGGAAATTAAAAGAGTTTTTTTTTAAGGACATCAGTATAAAGTTAAGGCGTGAATCGGGAAGAGAGAGAGAGATATTTGCCGAAGAAAGACTTCTTTCTGTTGTAATTCCTTTCAGAACATGAAATGATTGAGCCAATGGATCCTGACTTAACAGGCGAGTGCTCTACTATTACGCCAACATCAGCCATGCAATCTGTTGTTCAATTCATTATTAACCAACAATTATTAAGTGTGCTAATTTAGCCGCTATTTTCTGAATTGATTGGTTAGTGAGTTGGCTTTTGGAATCCTCTATACTTTCAGCCGTTAATTGACTGAAAAATGTATAGGCAGGATGAAGTATCAGGTTCAACTTATATACTCATAATTGTTTTCGTGGTGATGCTATAAAAAAGTTTTAGTTTTAATTACTAAAATATTTTTTTTTATTTATTTTCTTAATTATTTTTCAATGTTTAATGTTCTTATAATGCCCTATTTTAAACAATGCCAATTTGCTTATCACTTTTACAATATCTTTCGCTTACAGTATGGCTTATACAGTTGCTTTATGGGCTGCTTTATCTATGTACTTTTTGGCACCAGCAAAGACGTGCCACTCGGACCCACTGCCATTGCAGCGCTGCTAACCTTCCAAATTGCACGCGGCGATTTGGTTAAGACAATATTACTCACACTGCTCACCGGCCTAATTGAAGTGCTCATGGGTATACTCAAGATGGGTTTCCTCATCGATTTCGTCTCAGGACCGGTTAGTGCTGGTTTCACCAGTGCCGCCTCGTTGATTATATTTACATCACAATTGAAAGATTTGCTGGTCGTCGACACTAAAGGCGACACTTTGGTGCATATGTGGATCTCAATTTGCAAGGATTTTCGTAACATCAGTTGGAATGACGCGGCATTGGGTATTAGTTCCGTTGCTTTACTACTCTCCATGCGCGTAATGACTTTTGTGGAGATCGGCCCGAAGGAGGGTAAGAAGAGTTGGCAACGTTTGCTGCAGAAGGCAATCTGGTTGATTGGCACATCGCGTAATGCAGTACTTGTGGTTTTGGTTGGCTTGCTGGGTTATCAGTTGCTACAATCCGGCACGGATATTTTCCGTATGGTCGGCTATGTGCCGGCTGGTCTGCCAGCATTTAAGGTGCCAGCATTCTCACAGATCACATACACGAACGCGACTGGTGGTGAGCTTGTCGTCATGGAAGAGACTTTCGTCGATATGATTAGCAGTTTAGGTGCTGGTCTAATTGTGATACCACTTGTTTCGCTCTTGGAGACATCGGCGTTAATACAGACATTCGGTAAGTGATTATCATACATATGAATCTTGTTTGTTTGCAACTTTAATCTATTTATTTTTGTGTTCCTCTGGTTTTTTTTAATTGCAGCTGATGGCAAGCCCTGCGATGCAAATCAGGAACTCATTGCCATTGGTCTTTGCAATGTGGGCATAGCCTTTACACAGGGCTTCCGTGGTAATGGGCCGCTGGCACGTGGCGCTGTTTTGAATGCTAGCGGTGTGCGCACTCAGATGTCCAATTTCTACACGGGGATTATTGTAATGTTTGCTTTGCTTTACTTCACTCCTGCCTTCTACTACGTCCCAAAAGCTGCATTGGCTGCGATCATTGTATCGGCGACGATTTTCATGCTGCAGTATCGCGTAATTAAACCCATGTGGCGCAGTAAAAGTAAGTTGATATTTTTGTATACATCTTAAATGTCAACCTCATTTGTCGGTTGATTAAGTTGGTTAAGTTATGTAAATGCTTAAGGAAACATCTTTTTCTTTTGCTGGATGGATATTTAAGTATTGGAGTTGTTTTCTTAATGAAAATGCGCAACTCAAACCAAGATGCTCAATAAACGCAACGATATCATTCCGTTTCGCTAAGAAGAAAAATTAACTCAAAGAAATGAAATCTTTAACGTTGAAACCTCGCAAACACATCGTTAATGTTAATTCAGAAATGGCTGCCTGTTAAGATATAATAACAGCACACTTCAATTTTAACATTTAACAATATCTGGTAACAATTTCTTGTAACGATTTAACATTATCTGTTAGCGATTTAACATTATCTGTTAACAATTTAACATTATCTGTTAACAATTTAACATTAACTGTTAGCGATTTAACATTATCTGTTAGCGACTTAACATTATCTGTTAACGATTTAACGTTTTCTGGTAACGATTTAACATTAACGACAGCTTTCCATTTCGCTTAAAATCGAAAATAAATTTATATTGATAACTGCTTGGACGTTAATATTTCCAGAAGTATCAACCAAAACAAAAAAAAAAAATTTTTGAAATTTGTTTAGCCTAGATTGAAACTATATAAAAATATAATGATTAATGAAAAATTACGGACACACCACGTTTTGTCAAAAAAATAAGAAAAGATCCTTTGTTAAACTTAAGCCAATAGATTTTAAGAAATATAGTTCTTTCTCCTTCTCTCTCCCCTGTTCTGGCACTAGCGTTTTGGGGAAAAAATCTCCGGCACACTTAGGCCTATGGGTCCATTGTGATAGCGCTGAGGCTTCTGCCTTCACCTTCTCAAATGATCGAACCATTTCGTGTGCCTTATAAAGCCGGCAAGATTTCCAATGTTCACTGCGGCCAATTCAGCGAGGCAGTCGAAAAAGTGTATCTCAAGAAACTTGTGTCGCGCAGAGGACAAGGCTGGAGAGTAGCAGAGGTGATGCTCAATGGTCTTCTCCTCCTTATCGTCCTTACAGTTGCGGCAGAAATTGGTAAAGTAAAATCCCATCCTTATCCCGTGAAGCTCCGTTAAACAAAGAACAGTTATTATTATTGTCGCTAAGCTAATGTAGAACCGGTCCAGAAGGATAAGATGTTCAGATTTTTTCACGTCAAACTTCGGCCATAGCTGTCTGGTCACGTTAGATGTGATTTCGTTCAACCATCGTGAGCCCTGATGAAGGCCAGTTTAAACATGTACTTACCTGTAGACAGGGGTAAACCCGCATCTTGTGCGTGTTTTATCGAAGACACAAAGGTTCATCCTCTTGCGAGTTCGTCTACCATGCAATTGCCTGGGGTGTGCCTGTCTCCAGGTACCCAGACCACGGCAGTACTGTAATTCGTTGAGAATTTGTTGAAAGCGTTTCCACAGTTTATGGACACTTTTGACGTGGTATCGTTACCTTGAAGATATTTGATTTCAGCCTGACTATCCGAGTAGATTGTCACTGATTGCCCTGCTGCCGTAGATTTGTGCAACCGTTCCGCGGCCTCCATACTTGCGAAGAGTTTCGCCTGGAAAACGCTGCAATGATCCGTTCCACACTACTGAGATTCAGCAAAAAACTGTCTCTTATGTATGAAAGTGAAAATATTTTTTATTTATTGTAATGCTTTTTGAACTTTTTCCTGAAATCTCATTTCATAACTGTCCAGAATTCAACTAAAAATTTCGGTGTTGGAGACCCAAAATCTGACCCTTTTTTTATTAACGATATTCGATGTTCGATGAGTTTCTGACAAAGAGCTTTTGATCAACTTAATCGATAGTCTAAAACCAATTATGTTACGGATAATCCTATGAATTGTTTTTTTCTTTTAAAAAGTAAATTTTTGTAAATTTTTCCATTTCAGGAACTGACCTAATTCCCGGTTTGGGCGCCTTCATCGCTTGTATTGTGCTACCCGTACAGATTGGCATTTTGGTTGGCATTGCCATAAATATTGCATTCATTTTATATAGCGCAGCGCGGCCTAAATTGCGCATTGAAACTTTAGAGGTGAGTTGATATATGGAGAAATTTTTTTTTACTTTATTTCACTTGCTCTTAAATAAAAATATACCAATGAAAAACCACATTCTTTTTCTTTTTTCACACACACACAGGCATCGAATGGCATTAAATACCTTATGCTCACACCCGATCGTTGCCTGATCTTCCCCTCAGTGGAGTTCGTGCGCAATGTGATCAATAAACACAGCCGCAAATCAACACTGCCTGTGGTCATTGATTGTACTTACATTTATGGTGCCGACTTCACGGCGGCCAAAGTCATCTCAATGCTAATCAAAGATTTCCAAACGCGTAATCAGCAACTTTACTTTTATAATTTACAATCAAGAGTGGCGCAGGTATTCGAGGGCCTCAATAAAGGTCTTATCGTCATCTATGATGTGGAACACTTGGAAATGGTGTTGGCGGGCAAGGCGAATGATGTGAAGCCGTGAAGAGTTGGTTGGTCAATGGCAGAAGCAGGTAGCAGTTGGATAATGAAATTAATGCAAATTAAAAATGAATTAAAAGTGAAAGTTGAATCTGATCAAAAGAGTCGATTTGCAAGTGCCAAAATGTCATATAGGTGTTAAGTCTTTTGTTGCATATGTATGTGCGAAGAGCCTAAATTAAAGTTATTGTTGCAACATGAATGGCATAAAAGTATTAAAAATATTTAGCGATATTACGATATTAATAAATATTTTTTATTTGTTTTTTTTCATATTTTTTAAGTGTATGATGTAACACAAAGTTTGTCATATATTTCGATAGTTTCGATATTTTTTCTCATATCTACCAGTTAATTAATTTTATTTTATTTTGTATATAAACAATTTTTTTTTATAGCGAAGTGTATATATTAAAAAATATTTTGTAAGAAAATAATTCATAAAAAATCTAAAGTCATGAGAAAAATTATAATAATAATTTCATTTGTCATATTTTAAAATAATTATATAAATAAGCTAATTAACGTATAATTTATGTAAAAAAAAATGGTTTTAATAAATGCTGTATCAATTACATCAACACCATTAGCTAATTAAATAACTGAAGTGTGAAATTGTCACAATGTAAATTTAAGCAAAAAATAATAATAATAATAGGCATAATCTGCGTCAATTATAATGTATATAAAGTAATAATAATAAATATATTCAAAAAAAATTGTGCACGAATATTTTTTTTTAACTTTTTTACCTCTAATGCGCTAAAATCTCATAATTATTATATTCTATATTTATTGCATATATCCTGCATGAAAAAACACTAACTACGGACTAGAATATAACTAGTTGGCATTTGTGCACTAACTAGTTCATCTACCGACTATTTGCCATATAGGCAACACCCTTACCCTTCGAACTGTCACTTGTTTGACTACGCATCAGCCTTATATTAGTTACATACCAGCCCAGTTAGACAAGTTCGAATTTCCACTTTACTAAAAAAAAAAAATATTCAAATAAGAATGAGTTTGCCTACAACGAGACTTAAACCCTGAAACTCACGCGTCACAGTTAAAATCTCTAGGCAATCCTTGTGATTTATAGAGCAACTGGATTTGTGCACAACACAGTTTATTGGAAAGTGAAGCTTAGCACTGGTGTACTATAAGAAATAGCAGCATACCAAAAATAGATCTGTCCGCAGCGAACTATACGCGCTATAGCGATTGCCTCTAATCACTCGGCTATTGTGATGGTGTAGCGGCGAGCGTCGTTTTGCGCACTTCCATAGAGCGTAACCGAGATTGAAACTCAGTCACGGTGTGCTAGATATAACAAAAACATACGTTGGTGGAAATTATTATTACTCCCGTTTCGGGTGAGTTGTCCTCAAAATACTGGTATTTAATCAGAAATTTTGCGTACTAATCTAACTTTTCCACTGCTGGGTAGATATGTATGTATGTTATCCAATGTGATTATCGAAATATTTGGTTCTTTACTTTTCGCCCCTTAATCAACATCACACAGAGAAAGAAAGAATGAAAGAAAAAGGTGCTAAACGCTGGTAATTTGTGTCAATGTGAACATACATACATGCATTTATACGTAATCACAACTGCGCCAGTGCAAATTGTTCGCGCGTTTATTTGCATATACATATATGTATTGTGTTGTTTAATTGAATTGATAACTTTGTAGCATACACGTATATAGAATTTACTCAATGCATTATGAATTGTCCATGCGCACATTAACGCATGTTATGTATGTATGTATGTATGGGGGCGAAATTGATGCTAATAGAATCTAATTTAATTTTGGTTGACGTTGTATTTGATGCCTTTTTTCACGCTTATGTCAGACCACTAAGCTTAAATAAATATATGTACATGTTTTTGGCATTTATAATGACATTATTATGTTGCAGCTCGAGAGGTGTGATATGCACTTGAACCTAACCGGATGGAACTAGTGCTCAATAGAGCATGTGTATTATTATTAATTGCAATAGGAAGGTAGTTATTTTAAGGTGCTACTTTTTGAGTATTCTCTGGTAGTTTTACAATCAAAAAACTGTACAATACCAACGGCATCCAAAAAAAAGAAAAAGTGGGTTGCTCACCCATAACCAACTGAACACGGCTATGTTGATCCAAAAGTGTTCACGTTTCTTGCTTTAAAAAGAGATTATGGTGCATATAATCGTCCAACTACTCGAGAAATTGGTAAAATTTCAAAGAAATTTGAAAACACGGTATCGATTACAGATATTGTAAATCTACACATCATCGTTTTGCTAGTTTTACTTCAGTTATCGCTACCGTAGCGAGTGTAGCCGAAGACCCGAATGGGTCTATTTCTTGGCGTTCTCAAGAGTTGGTACTTTCTTAGTACACATTATGGCGCTTTCTGCACTTATACTTACGCCTTAGTCCATATAAAGTCCAGCTCATACAACAACTGTAGCCAGCTGAGCTTTCACAACGCCATACACTCATCGATTGTGGTGCTCGAGCAACAGACAGTGAATGTCAATTTTTCGAACAAAATTTCCTTCAGCAACGAGGCACATCTCGTACTGGGGAATAAGTAAATAAGCAAAAATGTCACATTCGAAGCTTTAAAAATTCTCAAGGATTCGAAGAGAAATCACTACACTAGAAAAAACTTACTGGAGGGTCTATAGTGACAAAGTTCACGTTGTATTGAAAATTATCGAAGTCGTTCAAAGTACTTAGAGTATGGAATTTAGTATTATAAATATATAACTAAAAAAATAAGCTTTGTCGTCGAAAATCGTCAAAATCGGAGAAATTTACATATGTGGATTTTGTTAAAAAAATAAAGGGTTTTCCAATGGGTATGATATGATATTTAACTGACGTGTATACAGTAATGTTTGCAATTTAATCATAGCAAGATATAAGCAAGCACAACATTTACAAACAACAACAACAACTTAAAAACGATAACGATTTTTTCCACTTTCATCTGAGTAGTGCGGTAAATAAACAAAACTCTCGGTTCTGATGTGAAGAAAATCCACAAATTCTTCATGAACAACCATTATATATAATTGGCACTTTATAACCGCTGAACGGTTTTTGGCCGAGCTTCCTCTCCAATTTGTGGATTTTCGTCTTGATGTTTTTCCAAAAAATGGCGAGACCTACACTTTAAACTAAACCACCTCGAAACGGCTGATGGTTTTTTATGAGGAGCATTAAAATCATGTCAGAAATGCCCTCAAAGGGGTGAACATCCCCTGCTGAAAAGAAAATTTAGCCTAATTTTTATTTAAATTAATTTTCAATAACTTTTGGATGTTGATTGCACCGCGGCCGCCAATGAAATGAACAACCATTTTATTCACCTAAATAGACAGTTTGGTATGGTTTTTGTTCTGCTGGAATCATCGGTCCGATATAAATCGTAGATAACCAACTCTTGATGGCCACAATAGGAAGAAGTTGATCTTCACAATATCTGTGCTGTTCATAACAAACGACTTGATTTAGTGGAAAAAGTACTAAAAAATTGTATAAATCGAATTCGTTTCTACAAAAGAAGACGCAGAGGCCGCTTGAATGATGTAAAATTCAGAATTTAATTGTATGGATCATTATTCAAAATAAATAAAAAACGTTTGAATTTCCTCAACAATTAGTGTACCACTTTTTAAGCGAAATCACATCAATCTTATTGGAAAAGAAATTATCTAAAAGTGTGAACTTCAGTTTATACACACGATAAACAAATGAATATTGCTACCGAAACTCAACAAAATCGAGAGACCTCTGGGCTATATGACCATTCAATCAATTTTTCGTATATGAAAAAGAATAGTTTAATATCTTGAAATGAAATACCATATTGTGATACGAGCATGGTCATGAAAGGTACTAAAGACATCAGCATGGCCAAAGACAGCTATTCTTAACTGTTATTTCGAATTTAAGCGATCTGGATAAAAGGGCGTCTATGACGTGACTATCACTCAAGATATGATAGCCTAATCAGAATGTTACCACATTAAAGTTAATTAAAAATAAATTTAAATAAAACTAATTAAAGTGCTGAAACCTTTTCATTTCATTATTTCTTATATTTCGTTACCCTCCATAGAACTATTATTACTAATTTTTCGTGGATAATATGAAGTTTTAAAAGCATATGCTTTTAGGCAGATCTCTTAAAGAGGAAATCATTTTAATTTGCATTTAATCAAAAACTATTCAACTTCGATGGAAACCAAAATGTGAAAAATATCACACATACAAACACATTAACTATTTTTTATAAAAATAATGAATCATCCTTAGAGGATAAGATGAGAAGTTTAAACATTTTAATTATGTTTATGAATGTGCATATGAAATTTGAACTCTTTGGAGATTATGAAATATAGTTTATTGTGGATGTCGTGGCGTATGAGTGATTTTTTTTTGTCCGGCTTTCAACATATAATATTACAATAAATATGTAAATACACCTATGTAAATACACCTAAATACATCTGCTTATGGAAGATTGTACCTTCTCTATTCAGCTCTGCAGCTAGTATGATTTTCTCTCACAATATTTTGGTTTTTTCTTTCAGTTCAAAATAATGGATAAAAAGCAATTAACAGTGCTTCTTTTTATAAATACTCCACTCCAACGGAAAGCACAATAAAAAGTTCACACCAGAAAACATGAAAAGAAATAAACAAACTCATATTGAGTGATGAAAACTTGAAGTTGGGTGGTTTAGTTGGTTTAGTTGGGTTCATGGTGGGATATGCAAGACGTGTTTTAGGTCTTAAAGGCCAAAAAAAGCTTATTTTCTCTAATTTTTTTAAAAGATGCTAAATAAAGTACACAATTTATTTTGTTTATATATAAAAATAGAATATGTGGATAACATTTGATGAAAATTTGAATGAAAAATAGTATAAGTTAAGGCGTTGGTAGTGTGAAAGAAGTGCTTTCGCGGTAGTCAAGATAACTTTTTCAATTTTTATCTGAAATCAAAAATCCAAATTTTTTCTTAAAGGAGGTGAAATTTCCTTGTCTTTGAATGAAGAAAAGTTTGAGGAAAATATTCCTGATATTTTGTACTTTTATACAAAGCAGTATCAAAAAAATTAATTTTTTGTGGTTTCGAGACCTAATAACCCCTTAAGTTTGCTCTAGAGTTATAGAGATAGAGTTCGAAAAAATCTCCTGTTTCTTCTTCTTTGCTGCTTCGACAAATAAATGCGAATATCACATTATTATCACATAATCATATCGAAAAGCCCCATTAAATAGTGCACTATGAATATAACAGTTGATATTCTAATAGAGAACCGGTCTAGGTCAATAAATATCTACTTAATACACATTTTGATATAATTTACGGACGCTATACTTTTTACCATGCAAATGTTAAAAAGTCCTTTGACGATTGGTTTCGCGGTAAGGACAGTATCGGTTGTCGCTGAATTTAAATTTTGATCGCTGATCTGCCGAAAGGGCGATATATATGTATATATGCTTACATATACTACACATATCCCAAACTCAACTTTCTGCTGTAGCATGTAAGGATAATTTCATAAAATGTTTTCTGTTGTAACAACTAGAAAAAAAAATCACACAAATTTTGTTACCTTTTTTAATGCTTCTTTTCAATGTAAAAATGTAAACGATTCAACTGTTGGCGGTTATTTTTTCATTCCTCAATGCTTCAATGCCGCTTTGTGAATAAGCAAACATCATAATGGTCTTCAACAATAACCTTTTGCGCGCGCCTAAAACTATGCAACAAAGTGATAAAAAAAATTCATTGGATATTTTCACAATACTTTTTATCAGTGTACTCGCCTTAAGGGGGGAAGCTGGTCTAGAATTTTGAAAAAATCGAAAAAAATATTTTTTTTTGTCTTAAAAGGTGCTTTAGGTGACGGCAAATATGTCTAAATGCCCAAATTGTTTATTCGGCGTCAATGTATCGCAGGTATGCCCCGAGCGACCTATAACTTTAAACGCGTTTTTCTCGAAATCACTTTTTTTAAACTGGCCGAAGACATGACTCGAACAAATCTTCACCGTTTCTTACGAAATTTTGACAGTACGTTCGAAATACCGTTCTCCGAAGACATACGTAGGATATTTTTTTATATTACATAGTTTTTTTTTAATTAACAATTTTATATCGTTTTTTTAGTGAATATTGCAACTTTTTGTTTCGCGAACAAACAAAATATCGAAAAAATCCTACGAACGTCTCTTATTGTTGTTAAATAGAAACACCCGCAAGTCTCTTCTTCTTGCACTTGACAGTTAGACCGATTTTGATGGACTTTTTTTGTATGTTCAAGAGGATTCGAGTACGATTTAAGTTTACAATTAGGTCCGGTTAGGAAACATTTGTGTACTTGAAAAATCGTATTTATGGTTCGGTGTACTTGAAGTTCGGTAAAAAGCCAACCCTGTACCCAAATTAGTACGTACAACCTGAAACCAATCTATTCGAAAATAAATCGTAATGCAAATCTTGATATTAAATTCTTTTCGAGAACTGAGACCCAAACTGAATAAATTGAAAAAAAAAAAATATTTTTTGATAGAGACCAGGATTCAATTTTGATTTATTTAAAATTTAGTTTTGCTTTTAGCATAGATTTATTAGACATTTTCATAACTGTTTTATAAGGGTCAAATATCTCCCTTCCGCTTTTTATGCTCTTCATTCAATGCTTTATAAAAAGTGTTTCAGTGATCGGAATTAGTTCGTTTGTTCGATGATCTGTTTCCATCTAGACGGCAACTTTATAATACCTTCCTCGTAGAGGCCCCCTCTTATTAGCGAAGAATTCGGACAGCCACTTTTCACAAGCCTCTTTTGAGTTCAACTTCACACCACCAAGGGCATTCGCCATGGACAGGAACAGGTGGTAATCACTTGGCGCTACGTCCGGGCTATATGGTGGATGCGATAAAACCTCCCATCCGAGCTCCCGTAGCTTCTGACGAGTCATCAACGAAGTGTGTGGTCGGGCGTTGTCCTGGTGGAACACTACACCCTTTCTGTGGTCCAGTTGTTCGCAGTAGATGGTAGAATGAAGCGTCTGGCCATATGAGAGCAGCTCATAGTGGATGATTCCCTTCCAATCCCACCAAACACACAGCAAAACCTTCCTGGCCGTCAATCCCGGCTTGGCCAGTGTTTGGGACGATTCACCGGCCTTCGACCACGACCATTTTCGCTTGATATTGTCGTATGTGATCCATTTTTTGTCGCCAGTCACCATCCGCTTCAAGAATGGGTCGAGTTCGTTCCGTCCAGAGGGTTTTTTTGCGTCAAATTAAGCGGCTCCCAAACATCCAGCCTTCCGCAGATGGTTCAAAATGGTTTGGTGACTAACTCCCATCTCCTGGGCGATGTCACGAGATGCCATATGCCGGTCTAACTCGATGTATTCCATGATTTGATCGGTATTTGTCGTCACAGGTCTTCCGCTGGCTGGTTTATCCAGTGAACTCCATGTTTACACGTCTATAACTGTTGAACGCAATATCCAAACTAATCATGCATAGCGTTGTTTTGTAGGTTATGTCAAGACCTTTCAAATTATGTATAGTGTTGCCAGATACGAGCGCTTTGTACATAGCCGCGAAATTCAAAAGACAAACAAAGCGGAACGGTTTTCGGTCAAGCTCTCCCTCCAAGTTGTGATTTTGCGCCTCGATGTTTTTCCAACCAATTGAGGGACCTACAGTTTATACTAAACCGCCTCTGAACGGCTACTGGTTTTTTTACGAGGAGTCTTTATTTCATGTCCGAAATACACTCGGAGAGGTGGACATTCCCTGCAGAGGGGCGACCGCAATTAGAAAATTTAACTTAATTTCTTATTTAAATTAATTTTCCATAACTTTTGAATGTTGGTGGCACCAGTATATGTACCCGAGACTTCTGAATGCTGGTACGCAATTCTAACCACTCGGCTACCGCGGGCTCATATATTAACCAAAGTTGAACCTACGACGCACCTCCCCGGAAGAAAAAAGTGTTCCCATAGGAATTAAGGCAATGAGCTCCTGTGTACCAAATTTCAATTAAATCGAACGAATTAGAAATAAATTAGATTCTTTCGCATGCGAGGATCACACTTCCAAAATTTCAGGCCTGTACGATCAGTGGTTTAGACTGTGTAGGTTGATCCATCAATGGTTCAGAATAAAGTTTTTTATATAGGTATATAAGATTAAAAAACATGTATATACATATATATTAATAAGGTTTATATAATAATTTATTTCACTCTGCATATTATTATTATTATATTCGACCATAGAAAAAGTTTTTCCAGATCAGTACTTGTATATATACTTATAACTAAATAATAGCTTATACGTATACCCCGAAAAAACGTTTTTTATAATATCTACAACTTCGTTATCTTATCAGTACTGACGTTAAGTGAAACGTCAACAGTGCTCGCCGAGTTCAATGATTCAGTACTCATTCGTACACCAGTCTCTATATCAGGTTCTAGTGCTAAATTGATCTCACCACCCTCTTCACTCTCACTAAGCGCCTGAGTTAAAGCAGTGGTGTTATAGCATAATGTCAAGTTGACATTTAAGCCATCGAAAATGTGTGCAACATTTGGTTTTAAATTAAAAAATATAAGCTTCTGTTTGCGTTGATTGAAATCATCCAGGAGCGAAGAGATCACCTTGGCTGCCGTATAGTCGGCGCTGTAGATGTACGTGCAGTCGATGACCACGGGTAGAGTGGTCTTGTTGCCAAATTTTAAAACGATATTGCGTACAAATTCAACAGAGGGAAAGATGAGACAACGATCCGGTGTGAGCTTCAAGAACTTCAAGCCGTCTTTGGTCTAAGGGAAAATATAAATTTTTTTTTTGGAGTAATTGATATTCTAAATTAGAAACCAGAGTAGTTGTGATACACACCTCTAATGTCTCCAAGCGCACCTTGGGACGTGCGGAGTGATATAGAATGAATAGCAAATTCACGCCAATTGCTGAGAGTATACCCAGCTCCAGTGGCATCACCAAACAAGCAATAAAAGCCACAAAGTATGGTATCAAATCAGTGCCTGGAATACAAATCACGTGAGCGTTTTGTGTTTTAATATAAACTCGGCAAGAAAGCCTGAATTCATCATGTGAATACTCACGCTTGCTTCGCCACATCGGCACGATTACTTGATATTGCACTTGAAAGATCACCGCCGAAATAATGATGGAAGCCAAGACCGCCTTGGGAATGTAGTAGAAGAAGTCGGTTAGGTATAGTAAAGCAAACACAACAATAGCACCAATATACATATTTCCCAAAGGCGTACGAACGCCACTGGCATTATTAACAGCCGAACGAGCAAGGCCGCCATTGGCGCGATAGCCCTGGAAAAAAGAATTGGCCACATTTGCTATACCCATAGCGATTAACTCCTGCGAAGTGTCGATGGGTTTTCCTTTAGCTGCAGATGATAGCGAGAACAAAATTTTATTTTTAAAGTGTGAAAATATCTTCGAAACTCTTACACTAACTTACCAAGCGCTTTACACGCCGCAATATTCTCCAGCAGCGCAACGAGCGGCACAATGATCAGACCATAACCCATATTATTCACCATCTCCACGAAAGTTTCCGCTTCTACAGCTGGCTCTCCCGTGGTTTCATTGCCTGGCTTGGCTTCAATAGAGAACGGTGGCAGTCCGAACTCTGGCAAGCCACCAGGTATATAACCCGTTAGTCGGAAATAGTTCATATCATGTGCTTTCATATACATGCTCACCGCTGCGAAGAAAATGACTAATGTTGCATTACGTGACACGCTCAAGAACCACAATACTCTTGTCGCCATAGCATGATACCATTTGCGATTGTCCTTGGGACCCACTCTGATACGTCCCATCGAACGCATCAACATCAATATGAGCACACAACTGCAGCCGAGTATTGTGTCCGCCATGCGTACGTTGCCAATATCACTGATCATACTAATCCAACGTTCGAGAAATGTGGTGCCTTTGGCATTCTTTACGCCGATAATATGTTTTATTTGCGATGTTGTTATGATTAGTGCGACGGCGCTTGTGAAACCAGCACTCACTGGTCCCGATACGAATTCAATTATGAAACTAAGCCGGAATAGTGCCATTAGTAACTCTATGAGACCGGTTAGAAAGGTGAGTAGCACAGCACGCTGCCATACACCTTTGGCGAATTGGAAGACCATCAGCGATGCGATGGCTGTCGAGCCGACGGTGCTGTCCTTGCATGTGCCGAGTATTACATAAACAAAGCAGCCCATGAAGGCGCCATAAAGACCGTACTGTGAATGAAAGTTTCACTTTAAAGAATAATATCTTGAAACTATAAATAGGTTTACGTAAGTAGTATTATGTAATATTTATGACGGTATATTCTCGAACAGACTTAATCTGAATTTTTAAGTTTTCCGATTTTATTTAAGCTCCTTTACCAAAAATACCATTTATTATATTTTTTTTTGGATTCAAAAATCACACAATATTTATATATTAAACAAAATTACTGAAATGAAGAAAATTCAAAAATTAATTTGTCCCAAACTCAACAGATTAGTCCTCCAAGTTGTACCCGATCTTGGAAGTGATTATCGATTTCGTTAGAGATTTCACATCTGTCAATTGCGATTAGTTCGAATAAGCCTCTGCTTCTGACAACAACATTTTTCTTTGCCTCTTCGAAAATGTCCGGATTTTCAGGAAGTCTATATTTTAGATGAAAAAACGGTAAAACTAAAGCTAATCGAACACTTGTGGATACTAATGGTGAGCCCGCGCCAGTCGATAAGTCATGAATAGCGTCGTTTCGGTGCTTCAAACGTGGTGACTTTAGCTTTGAAACCAAAGAGCGGCCTCGTGGGACCAGATGAGTCCAACGCTCTCAACTTCAACTAAGGCGTTTGAAAGTAGTCTCTTTAAATATGACCAGAAATGACAGAGGGACATAACAAAGTGATTTTGCAATATGACAACGCTCGTCCTTGCGTGGCTGTAATGGTTCAAAGCTACCTGAATGCAAAACGGCCACCGGCTTAGGTCTATAGAAGATTTGACTGCACCAGATTTTTTCTTGTGAGACTTTTTGAAAAGCAAAGGGTATGACAACAAACCGAAGACTTTGATCGAGCAGAAATCGCTGCGATATCGCCCGAGATGCTGGAAAATGTCATAATAAATGCCGAAAAAAGAGCGAAGTTTTGTTTGCGCAATGAAGACGGTCATTTGATCTAGTTTTTTTCGAGCCTAGCGGCAAAAAGTTTGTACGACTTTAAATTTGATAACAAAAAAGTTTAACAAAACCCATAAAAAATTGTTCAAGTGATTCAACATTTCTACTGACCATATATGGATGGCCCAGCCTGTATTTTTTACCTTCTTTCACTAAAAAATGTGCTTTTTGAACCCAAAAAATATACTCAATATTTAAAATATGTGTACAAAATATGTTTCGGAAAAATTGGAAAAGTTTTAAGAAAAAAAAAATCGTTTCAAACAAATTTTCTTTTATGTAAAATATATAAGCTTTATATGTAAATCCATCATTTTTTCATTTTTTTACTAATATGATTTTTTTAAAAGGACAAAGAATTCAGAATTGCCAAAAGCAATTGCGGGTATGAGCGGGAAAATTTTCTGCGATTTATTGGCAAATATTTTTTTTTATTAGAAGCAAATTCTTTATTATTTCTTTCATATTTACTAGAATGTCAATAACTGAGATGTTGAAAAATACATGCACTTTTATCTCACTGACTTTTCTGCCAAGTATTTCTTAATTTAGCTAAAATCATTACAAATACTCCATTAAAGAATTTTTTTTTTGTATTTATTAAAAACACACCTGAGTTGGCAAACCAGCAACACCGGAGTAGGCTAAACCTTGTGGTATAACTGTTAAACCAACAGTTATGCCCGCAATCAAGTCACCAATAGCATCTTCGCGATTATAATGTGGCAACCATTGCAAGATTGGTAAACGTCTGTAGAGTGTCTTTTTCCGAAAGACATTCTTCAAACCAGCAGCACAGAAATCGCTAAAGTTACGCGTCTGTCTGGCGGATGTTTGATGATCACTGACCAATATGAATTCGGTAGAGCCATTAAATTGTGTCTCAAGCGGTTGATCGATTTGTTGACGCGTTTTAAATTCTTCCGTTGTTTCAAAAGTAGACATTTCTTCTCTCTTTTGTTTGATCTACAGCAAATTTATTTTTAAATTTTATTCAACTGACATCTCTTAAAATCTCAATTCAATCGCTAACGTCCGCACGCGACAAGTTGCATAAAGAGAGTAAATCACGATTTGAGAAAATGTACGCTCCACACCTTTGTCACTAATTATTTGGCAGAGATTTTCGAATACACTCATGCTTACGCTGGCTTTGTGCCCGTATTTAAGCTATGTGTGCGCAGTTTTTGTAAGTAGAAATTTGTATGGTGTTGAGCTTACTTGTATGGGTGTTGTTTAGATTTGAGAAAATTGTTTGTGTAAATAAAAATTTCTAGTTGTAGTGAGTAAATATATATGTACTATACTTTTAATGTGTGATTATAGATTTACTAAATTCATATTTGATATGTGTGATGTATGGATTTAATATTTAGCACCTGCACTGATTGTGATAATTTTGGATAATTTGAATAAATTTAGCACGACAAAAAATGTGTACAAAATCTCAAAAATACTCTCCAACAGAGCGCATGAAGCTAATAAAGATTTAACACTTATATTGACACAACTAATTCAGATATTTAAACAATTTTTTTTTTAAATAAAAGCTTCCCAAGTAGTGTCGCACAGAGAGGAAGGAAAAAAGGAAAAAATTGAAAATTTTTAATTGAAAAAAATTTGTGACATTAAGAATATATGTAGTTAATTAATTTTCAAATTAAATATTTTGCATTCAATAAGTGCCTAGACCCGAAAGTGAAGGCAAAAATAAATAAAATACACGCATACTTACTATATTCCCATATAAATTAGCAGAGACGCCATGTGGTATGAGTAACATAAAACAATCAGTCGCGCTGCCATTTTCACATTTCAATTCGACAATATGTGTTCAAAAATTAACTGAAATAGTGAATTGATGTGTTAAGATTTTCACAAATTTTATTAACGATAAATGTCCAATCTTTTTTCACACTAAATGTGAAAATGAAAGTTTCAAAAGATTTCGCTCAGATGAAATCTCAGATTTATACTGTGGCTCAATATATAATCTTATCGTTTGATTATTTGTTGTGATTCGTAAGCTAAAGAAATTACCATAAATAATAATGAATTCAAAATTTATAGTAAATATTAAATTTTTTATATTTTCGATACAGAAAAATATATTGGAGCACAGATTAATCCGGTCCGTACTTCAAAAAACCCAATCCGGTGATCCCCAAACCGTTTCGCATCCATCGAAGTATTAGTCGGAGGCAGCAAAGCCTAGAGAAAACGTCGGCTGGGTTAAAGCCTCCCATTCCAATTTGTTCAGGTAGTTTTCGACCATTTAAGCCACTTGGAGTCGAGTGTTGCTATGTTACAAATTCACTTAGTCATGCCGCTTTTGAGTGGTTTTTCGAGCAAACCACTGATCAAACGAATAATAGTTAAAGTTGAGAGCACTACGCATCAATGATTTCAACTGTTTTTAACAGCTTATAGGACACTCGACCTGTGTGGTCACACAAGGCTGCCCTCTATTTTCGAATCTAAAATTATGCAGTGGCAAAACTACTCTCTTCATTAGTTATTGGTCGGCGCAGATTAGCCTTTATTTGGACTACAGTTCCACTTTTCTCGCTTTAATAAAATGTAATTAGAGCTAAGTGAAGTAGAATATCAGAGTTTTCCAATTATAAATTTTAATTTTTCATTTCAGCTCACTGTACTCTTAGTCTGACGCATAGCAAATGTGCTAGATAAATCAATATTAAAATCTAAAATTTTCCATTTACTTCAAATAAATTCCTCAACAGATTTTAATAACTCAATTTTTATTAACCGCTTTATAAATAATGACAACAACCGCACAATAATTGTTATTTATACAACACATTTTCACACAGGACAACAGAAAAGTTTTGAAGAATGAATACACTCTCTTGCTATGTATGACTGTGTGTGCATACCTTAATCAAAATAAGTCATCACCAAGTCGATATGTCATAGTCAAGTTTATGTAAATATGTTATGTGTTAAATAGTAAGTTGTTAATGTATATATATATATATATATATATATATATATAGTTGCGAAAAAATAATAATAATTTATATTATTGTAAGCGATAACTTTGCATATAATAAGTAGACATAAAGGTATTTTGATTTTGTTTGATATTTGAACTTCTAGCGAAAGATTCTCTTTGTATGCCGAAAATTTTGAATTTTCCACTAGAGCACAGCAAAAATGTACTTATAGTACAAAAACTTAATAAATACGAGGCTAAACTAAAATCAAAACAGTTTTATGATTATTTTGTAGGTTTGAAATATTTTCGAGGTTTTAAGCCACTTTTCGTATTATAAATTAAGAAAAAATGTGATTTATTTGCAAAAAAAATATGGCATAAATATTGAAAATTATAATTTAGAAAAAATTCGATCTTTAGTTGCCCACAAAAAAAACCTTAATTCATTTGTACATCGCTCTGCCTTGTGAAATACTAAAGCCGCCGTCAAAAACATTTGGGCTTGAGACCTGGAAAATCGATTGACCAGTTATTCGGTAATACTGGAAAAGAGCCGTGAAAAGGGTAACGGCACACATCATTTTCTCCTCGATTTTAAAGCAGCCTTCGACAGCACGAATTGGAGCTGCCTCTACGCCGCTATATCTGATTTTGGCCTCCCCGCTAAACGTTTCCGCTGTGTTAACTTCCGTTAAGAAACACCAAAAGCTCCGTTAGTATCAGAAACAGTTTGATACTAAACGAAATTTCAGACAAGTTGACTCTATATCGTGTGGCTTCTTTAATTTATTGCCCGAGAAAATTATACGAACCAGTAGCGCTGAACAGAGTAGGAACAATCTTCTATAAGAGTGTACAGTTTCTGGTGTACGCCAATATGACATTAAAACCAGTGAGCTCAGCTTTCTTCTACTGTTTTAAGGAAGTAAGCGCTTGAATCTAGTAGTGGACGAGTGCAAAACATAGTTATATTCATCAGTCTTGGTACCTATGACTGATTTGGTCTGAGTAGGCAATTGAAAAGTAGACGAGTAAAGACTAAACCCCAGAAGTCGCCCACCGTTCCCGTATGTTGCGAAGACATGGACAGCATCTGATGAATCAACATTGGGAGTTCAACTCAACAGGAAAAGAAAAGAAAAAGTTATTAAAATTTCTCAAAATGCTGAATTTGAATGTGGCAATTTATATGAAATGTTCTATTTTATTAAAAAAAAAAAATGTTGAGTATATTGTTATATATTTATATAAAATTACTTTACTACAATATTTTGTTTACAGTGTATAAAGCTTTTTTATGAATTAAAACAAGCATCTATCCAATTGTTGCATATCTTAAGGCGCAAATGAAAAAGCTAAACTTCCATGCATTTGAATGCAAAATAAGCTCACAGTTGAACGCGCGCTACGTACCTGAAAGCGTTAGATATGAAACTATCTTCTTATGTCTGCATATAGTTATTTGCCAACACACAAATGCTCACATTGACCAACAACAACACGAAGTATCGAAAAAAGTGAAAAGACAAAAAATTTTTAAAGCGACTGGCCAAATGAGTGGAGATGGCACGGATTGTCTTCAAAGAGTACTTACGACTACTATGAGCAATGAGAAAAGTAATCAACTAAAATGTTCCAAAGAGAATTAATGCAAAACAAAATGACACAACAACACTGACAGAAATTATTAAACGCCTATATTTGGCAAGGTCCCTCCATTTGTTAAAAAAACATCAGGACGCAAAACCACAAATTGGAGGGGGAGCTCGCCCAAAAATCGCTTCAGCGGTTACAAAGCGCCAGTTATATTTATCTCTAGAGACTTCATCCTCATCCTCTAAAGTGCTGAGCATTTGCATAGAAAGCGTCTTGAGGTTTCAGCTTCATCTTCTAGTCTGCAACTTCTACAGAAGTCATTATGTAGTACACTCAATCTCCCTACGTGCCTGCCCAACAGAACATTTCCTTTAAATAGGCCCATCATTGTAGATATCTCCCTCCTTTTTAGGGCGTTAAGGTCTAATGTCCTTCTCTTATCCCATGCTGGTCGCATTATCCTGGTCACATTACAATCGTTGAGACTTTTTATCTTTTGAGTTAGTATTTTTGATGAACAAATCTTCTTTAAAAGCTTACAGTCGGAGGTTGCAATGTAATGATGGCGAAAGTGGAATAAAGTCTCCCTAAGCTGAGTTCAGGTACACTGAGAGAACTGCTTAGCAATCATTTTAAGTGATCTGAGGCAATTCTCTACAGCTTTGCTGTTACAGACTCTAAGGCGCTTAGTGCGGCCTGGCTATCTAGAAAGTTATAAATACAAGTACAGTCGCCATTTCCGCCTGAAGAACACTACAGTGATCCGGTACACGAAATAATTTGCATATACCAAGCTTCCTTGAGTAAAAACTGCTTTCCGCCTTATTAACTAATTTTGAATCATGCGAATAAATATAAATCCAGATTGCCCTTGCTAGTGTTATCCGGTCCCATAAATTTTTATTCGGAATAACTAAATTGAAGTCTGTCGTGAAGGGAGTGATTTTTATTGAGTAAACCTTCTTGTAGACGGAACCTTTCTTATTTTCCCCTCGGACACATTGTGATGCCTCACCCCTCAACATGCGAGTAGATTCAAGAGTGCATACATAGCCTCAGGGTATCGCATATCGGTATGTAATACTCCACTAAAATACAGGAAAGCCATCCTCTGTACTCTATGAAATTCAGAGGTGGCTAAGTATTGCCCACCGGTCTACAAATACATAAAGAAATCCAGCCTAACATCTGCTAAGTAAAGCCAACGCACTTTTTTAGTTGACATGTCAATTTCGGGCCTATCGCACTTTTGCAGGATTAGAGGCGATGGACGCTTTACGCATTCTTTCTTCCAAGTTCTGTGACCAGCTTGAGAATTTAGTATGAAAAACTTTAAAGCGAATCACCAAAAAAAAAAAAATTAAGGAAAAAAAATTGGTGTTGACCAGTGTAATTTAGACATCTTCTGAGTGCTCTATACATACATATATATTTTATAATAAATATACAGCATTTCTATTATACACTGTAATGTAAGGCACAAAGATATTGAAACATTTCAGTTTATTCGCATTTACATTTCTATTATTATTATTCTACTCGCCACCGATTCGTGCTGTGATTGGATGAAAAGTCAGTTGAAATGAGGTTTTTAACCTTTCTTTGCTAATCCCACTTTAGTGCTTGGTACGTTACATAAATCAGTAGCAGAGGCTAGGAATTTGGTAAACAAATAGTTGTTGTTGACGCAAACGTAAACAATAGGCTGTTTTTGGAAACCCTAAAACTCATTGCATAATTCGCAAAGCAATGAATACAAAAAGCTACATTTCGATAAAAAAAATTAAATATTTGATATTTCAGCTTTTAAATCTCTATGATTTTTAATATTTATATAATAAAAAGTAATCTATTATTTTTGCATTAAATTTACCCTTTGTTATTTACCATAGTTAGAATTATCTGATTTGTGTCAAATACTGAACTTTTTGCTTTTTTACGTTCGTAAAGGCCTATATATAGGGACAATTAGCTGAAAATGAGGGAAATCTATTTTCCCAGGCTTCTCATGAAACCAAATTTTTAACAGTCAAATCATTCGTCATAGGCAACTTGAGATTGCAATCAGTTGGTGCGAGACCCGGACTATAAGGTGGATGTGTAAGAATCTGCCAACTAAGCCTTGTGAACTTTTTGTGAGTCGCTATTGATGCGTGTGATATGGCGTTGTTATAATGAAACACTATTTCCTACCTGTTGGTCGAAGTTAGGCGTTTCTGGCCGATTGCTTTCTTAAGATAGCCATAGGAGACTAGCTTAAAGTGAATAATTCCCAAACCACAAAACAGACGAAACCCCCTTCCTGATCGTCAATCCTTGCTTGGAGACCGTTTTTGCTGGTTCACTGCTCTTCAACTTCAGTGTTTCAATTTTCCTCACCAGTCATCATTTGATTCAGAAATGGGTCGATTTTTTACGATACAGCAGTGATTCGCAGATGTAAATTTGGTTCAGGAGATTTTTGCTCGTCAACCCGTTCACTCATGTGGCACCCATACATCGAGCCTATTTGTGTATCCAACCTTTACGAAGTGGTCCCAACCTGTTTTTTGTGCAATGTTTAGCTCCTGGGTAATCGAAACAGTGCTCCCATGATAATGAGACTCGACGATTTCCATTATTTTATCGACACTTTCGACAACTGGCCTTCCGCTCACTGGATCATATTTTACATCAAAATTACCGGAACGAAATCAATGTAGTCGAAATTGTGCATGAGTGACTGTATGGGCACCATGAACACTATTCTTATCGTCAGCTGCCTGACTTGCGTTTTCGCCTTTATCGAAGAAAAATTGTAAAATGTACATTTTTGAGATGCGCTGAAACATTGCTGAGTTAAGTGATCAATATTTCTTCTGATATATTTTTTAGTACAAAATATCATACTTTTAGCGCCTACGTAAGCCGATCGACGCGAGATATAGATTATTAAATACTTCTAGTGCTAAAATAATGGATTTATTTTTACTAGACCAAACATATAACATATAACATTTGCTCCGAAAACAAAAAATTTATTTAGTATTTCCCTTTTATTGAAGCCATCTTTTTTTTTAATCTATATCGAATTTTAAGAAAATATATCTTATGTATTTCAATCGTTTATTGCATATAGGAACACAGTTATTAAGTTAACTATTATCTAAATATTTCTATACAAGTATATACAAATGTACAAGCATACTTTTGAGTCAAAAAATATTCACAAAATTTTTTTGAAATATTCACAAATTACCGCCCAAACTTCGTCACGAAGCTTCAACAGTGATCGCCGAGTTCAACGTTTCACTACTACTCTTCACACCAGTCTCCAAATTACTTTCCAGTGCACCCTTTATAGCCGCATCACTTTCACTCTCTCTCAGCGCCTGCGTCAAGGCGTAAGTATTATAGCATAATGTGAAATTAATATTTAAGCCCTCGAAGATTTGAACAACATTAGGTTTCAAGTTGTAAAAAATAATTGTTTGATTTCGTTTCTTGAAATCGTCGATCAGGGAAGAGATCACTTTGGCCGCCGTGTAGTCGGCGCCATAAATGTAAGTGCAATCGATGACCACAGGCAGGGTAGTTTTGTTGCCGAATTTCAATACCAAATTGCGCACAAATTCAACTGAAGGAAATATGAGACAGCGATCGGGTGTGAGTTGTAGAAACTTAATGCCATCTTGTGTCTGAAATTTTCAAAAAATAAAAATAAAATAAATAAATAAGTAAATAACGTAGTGAAGATCCATTTGTTTTCTTATGTTATTGCAATAAATGCTTACCTCCAGCGTTTCCAAACGCACTTTTGGCCGTGCTGAGTGATATAATATAAAGAGAAGGTTCACACCGATCGCCACGAGTATGCCGATTTCGAGCGGTAAAACGAGGCATGCGATGAAGGCGACAAAACAGGGAATCAAATCTATGCCTGCAGGAAAAAAATTTATTAAATTTGAAAATCTCTTTTTTTTAATCTACTTATGAACCTACGTTTACTACGCCACATTGGCAGTATTACATGATACTGCAATTGGAAGATCACTGCCGATATAATAATGGCAGCTAGAACGGCCTGAGGAATGTAGTAGAAAAACTCCGCTAAGAAGAGCAAAGCAAATATCACGATCAAGCCAATATACAAATTGCCCAGCGGGGTACGTACGCCACTGGCATTATTGACAGCTGAACGTGCAAGACCACCATTAGCTCGATAGCCTTGAACAAATGAATTGGCGACATTTGCAATGCCAATGGTGAGCAATTCTTGAGTTGTGTCGATCGGTTGACCTTTAGCTGCAGATGAAAGCAAAAAATAATTGATGTACAATTATAAATATATAAAATAACTATCCTCAGAAAATACTTGGCATTCGAACTTACCAAAAGCCTTACACACAGCAATATTCTCCAGCAGCGCCACAAGTGGCACAATTAGCAGACCGAAACCCAACTCGCTTACCATATCAAAGAAATTCTTAGCTTCCACAGGCGGTTCACCGGTGGTCGTGTTCGCTGGAGTGCCCTCCATATAAAATGGTGGCGGACCGAAATCAGGCAAACCAGGTGGTACAAAACCTGTTAGGCGGAAGTAACTTTTGCCTTCCCTCTCCAGGTACATGCACACAGCCGCACAAACAATCACCAATATTGCATTACGTGATACGCCCAAGAACCAAAATAATTTAGTCGCCACCTTATGATGCCATTTAGGATTACTTTTCGGACCCACCTTGATACGTCCCACATAACGCATCACAATTAAAATTGCAACACAACTGCAACCGAGTATGCTGTCAGCCACACGTATGCTGTGAATGTCTTTGATCATGCTAATCCATCGCTGCAGAAATGTATTGCCTGATGCATTTTTTACGCCGAGAATATTTTTTATTTGTGATGTTGATATAATCAAAGCAACGGCGCTGGTAAAGCCAGCACTCACTGGTCCCGATACGAATTCGATAATAAAGCTCAGTCGGAATAGTGCCATTAGTATCTCTATGACACCGGTAAGAAAGGTGAGGAATACTGCTAATTGCCAAACACCTTTGGCAAATTGGAAGACCATAAGTGATGCGATCGCCGTTGAGCCGATTGTACTGTCCTTACACGTGCCGAGTAGCACATAAACGAAACATCCCATGAAAGCGCCATAAAGGCCGAACTGTGAAAATATATATATAAATTAAATTGTGTTGCTGCTGACATTGGTTTTCGTTCTTCGTTCTTCTTATCTTACATAAATATCGTTTATTTGTGAAAGAAATAGCGCTACACTCGATTGGTTTTTACGATGTGACTTTTTATCACATGCTGATAGATAGTGATAGACATCCGATAGTTTCTTGTTCTGCTTTCGCATACGTTTAAATAAATTGTTAAATGTATTGTAAGCTACAGCTTATTAATAATAATTTAGTAACTATTGTGTTTATTTGATATTTATGTCATCATCCGACATTTTGTCATATGATGAAATAATCACATGCCTACATTTGTAGCTATGTTTTTACATGAATTCTTGCTTTTACATATTTCTGGTATGCACTTTAAAATAATGGAATTCATCACCATGTGACATCGCATCGTTACCTCACATGATGGTGTGCATACGACTTTCAATACCAAAAAATGGAACTATTGTACTTATCTGATATCAATATCATCATCTGACATTTTATCACATGATGATATTATCACATGACTAAATTTCTGGGCATGTTTTTAAATGAATTTTTACTTTTATTCCTGTTATGCACTACTAAACAAACTCATTCCATGACATCACCATGTGACATCATATCATCACGCACATGTGACTTTCAATACCAATATCGCACATAACGAGATATGAATGGAATCTTTTTCTAACTAAATACTGCAAATACAATACTTACTGCTTATTTGGTTTATGCTTGACTAAAGTAGTATGTATATTTTAATTTATTTGATTTTAGATGTGTTTTCAGAAAAACATATGAATGAAGAGACAATTTTTTATGATATTTTTTTTTCTTTTTATATGTGCTTTTTTTATTCCATTAAGTCTTGTAATGTATACTTTTTAATTGTTTACCTTTGAACGGGAAATGATATACATATTAACTCTCTTGTGCATATATAATATACAAACTAATTTACTTTTAAAGTGTTTCGAATGTCACTACTTGAGATAAAATCTTATAATTTTTTGCGATGCCGTGAATTTAACGAATTACATATAAAGGGTATTCGCTTAGTCTAGGCAAAACATGTGATGCAAAAATTTCTCTTAGCAAATTAGATAGAGAACCTGCGCACCCCCGCTGCATAATTGTGGCAAATCTATGTTAAACACCAACAACCAGCTTACACAGCGTTACTCCTTTCTTCTTGCAAACTGTGAAATAAATATCTGTACATTGGTTTGGGTATACGATATTTTTCTCATTGCAGCATATTTTTTGTGTGTATTTATTTTTGTACCGTTGGGAAAGCCGTATATAGTATATTTTTAGAATCTCTATAGTTTATCAGCGAAGAAAACGGTCTGTCGCTTGGCTAAAACCTTGGCCTGTGCTGTTGCCCTTTATAGAGAGCAACAGAAGCCCACTGCTAGCTATCGGCCTGTCATAATTAATTTTATTTTTGATTTAAAGATTTTATTACTTATTGTGAGGCTTCCATTGTCGAAACAGAATTAATAAATAAATGTATAACGACTTGGCCAGCGCCTCTTCAGTTATATATATATTTAAATCTCAAATCTCTCTTTGCAAGGACCGCAAATTTTAGGCTGATTATTTTTTGTTCCAAAAATGTTCACTTTTTATTTACTAGAGTGTTGAGTAGGCCGTTATAAAAGTATAGTAAAAATATTTAAAATTTTCTTCCACATTATCAAATTCAAGAAAGCCCAAAAATAAATTTTTGAACTGAAGAAAAAATTTAATTTGCTTAACGACTAAATTCTATAGCGAGGTTATATTGATAAAATTTCTCAATAAAATTTGTGGGTCCACTTTTTTGTTTCCTTAAAGTGTTTTTATTGAAGAAAAGTAAAAAAAAAACATCATTGTGCTTGGGAGGCGACTATTTTTTCCCATCTTTTTGGAAATTTTCGAATGCCATGGCTAAAAAACTAGTCTCTCTATATTCGATCCTACTGTTGAGTCATTCTTCGATTTCTTTAAAAGACCAGAACCGGTGAGCCTCACAAATTGTTTTGCAACCGTCGAAAAAGTGAGTAGTCAGAAGAAGCAATGTGTGGAGAATACACCAGGTGGGGTAAAACTTCTCACTTCAGCGTTGCCAGTTTGTTTAAGACCATTGCTGTCACGTGGGGCCAAACGTTGTCATGTTGCAAAGTCACCTTGTCATGCTTTTCGGGTGCTTCTGGCCGGTTCTCATGCAATTCACGACTCAAACACAGTTATTTGCAGTCGATTACGTTTCTCATCAATGGGTTCGTCTGATTTCCTCATCTTGAAACTTTTTGATTTAACCGGGATGGTCTACATTTGAAGCGTCGAAACCAATCTTTCAATGGCTTGTCGGCCGACGCAGATTCATCACAAAACTTCCACAAGCATTCGATAAGCTTCAGCTGTACTTTTCTTTCAATTAAAATTTAATATCCAAATTTCCTGCAAATGCTGTTTATTTAATACAATTCTTTACTCTTTTGGAGTGGTTATAAGAATCGAAAAAATATTATTATCAGAAACGGATGCTGAAGCACTCTTACTATTGTTGACAAATGTGCCACCCTTCCATTAAAATAGGTAATCGGTTAAAAGATCAGTCACAACTAGTAGGTGGAGCAATTATGCTCAATAGTCGAAGCCAAAGTAGAGCTCAAAATTTGATTCCAATATTTTCGAGTTACACAGTTCAACATTCATTACTAATAAAGTAATAAAGTTGGGGTATTAGAGCCCTGTGAAGCATTTTAAGCGAATAAATTTCAATTTTTCTCTGCATTTCATCTCTTACGTTATATAAAGTGTAAAGGTATTGATGTAGAAATTCAGACGCTAAAATTGAATTTTCTGACACATAAATTAAAAAATTTTGAACAGACATTTCGGCCATTGAGCAAAGAACAAAACATTCTTACCAAAGAAAATTTACACAAATCTATTATATAAGTTCGCCTTGATACTCACCATATATATATATGTACATATTTTCATAACCGATCTCAAGATTTTCCACGAAAATTTTCGTCCAACTCGAGAATTTAAGCAACGAGGACTCGCACACTCGTTTGTTGGTCGAGCAATTCGAACATTTTCAAGAACTAACGAGCATTTTGATCAAAAAATTAGACTTTTTTCTCTGAATTTTTTTCTAGAATTTATAATTAAATATTCCAAGCTTAAAACTCATTCAAATATTAAAGAAATTATGACTAACAAAATTGAAAATTGAAAACTTTCAAACCAACATCTAAGAAGTTGAGCTAAGAACGAATATTGACCTCGGGTATCTAGAACACTAGTCAAAACTCGCATACCTATAATTCTTAGTGGACTCGCAAAAATGTCAACTTAGCTGTACCTATAATACAATGACACGAAAGGCCGTTAAGAATTCAGTTAGTTGAAAAGTTAGGTAAGAGTAGTTTCAATAAATTTCATAATCATTCTTGGTAGCTATTACTCAAGTGAAGTCTACAAGTGGATTAAAAATACTTCTTATTCTCATTCGTAATGCCATTTGTATGATCTATTGAAAATTAATAAAGTTAAATAAATTGTGCTTAAAACACCAATATTAATTGTTAATTTAATTTGTGAAATAATAAAAGTTACTTTAGCCATGCTAACTCGATCCCCTCGATTGTACGTAATGTATTGTATACACTATGTATGTACGAGTATGTCGATGCCTTAGTGTAAAAGCTCCTTAATTCCTACTCAAGTTGCAGCTGTTTTTATCATTGTTACTAATTTTTTTTATTCGAAATCAAATAAGACGCATTTCACTTCAATTCCGTAAAATAAAAAAAAATTACATATATATATATATATAAATAAAAGCGCTTATCAAGATAGATCTCATTGCTGAATGGAGAAAACAAACTAAGTACACAAACAGGAGTCTGCGCTCATAAAAGAAAATAATTTATTGTGCTGAAACTAACGTCACACGCGTGCTAATCAAGTTTTTTGCTTTATGTAATAGTTTTTTGTATGTGAAAAAAAATTTTGAAATCCTCCAAGGAGAGTTTATTCAATATTTTTTAAGTATTTTAAATTACCTGAAATTCGGAGAGAAGGGTTCAAAAACCTGTTGAAAAATCGATATTTAATTTTTTTTTTTAATATTCTCTTATATTAATTTTCACTGAAGTAGATTTCTAAGATTTTACCCTCATTATGAGCTCAAAAAGTTGCGTATTTCTCTTTCTTAATTGGTATTCTAATAAAACAGTCCAATTTAGGACTCTGAAATGCATATGAAAATTTTCGGAATTCTTAAGCAAAATATTTTATTTTAATTAATGTCTTGAAATTTTATCTATACTGAACGCTCAGGAAATGGGTTGAGACTATTCTTCAAACTACTGCTCTTTGATTTAATGTTGCTCAACACAAGACAAAAATTCTATAAGGCAATTTCACTTCGAAACTTTTGACGCTAAACGAGTTTGCTCAGAATTATTTGATCTTGCCACTTTAAGGATATTCAACTTGGAGATTTTTTAATTAATTTCACTTCTAAAAATATCTGTTTGAAACTGTTTCCTTTTTATTATAAATAAATTGAAAAGAGTTAATATTTTTTCGCTTTTATTTTCAAAATATTAATTTTAAGATTTCTCGTTTGTATGCGAAACGTTCGTGTTTTGGCTCAAAGGTTTTAGAGACAAGCCATGGGATTTCATGGCAAGATACCAGCTGGCTGTTTATGACGTGAAAATACCGTATTTCCTCGGTAAAGTATCTGTTAAGGCTAGCCTGCACCATAAGGGCCAACGACAGATGGCAAAGTGAAACCTCGTGCGATGCTCGTAGTGAACAGAACTGAGCCTATACCCCTTCAAAACAGAACTTCCATAAGTCGAAGGACGATCTGCTACCCAAATGACAGTTGATGCTGCCGCAGGCACATAAATGAGAAGAAGTTGTTGGCGCTCAGTGCGTTAACGTTTTCGTGGAAAATTTTTCTTCGATTGCCTTGCAGATCTTGCATCTGTATACATAATTTATACCATGATCTTCATAAAATACACCAAGCGGTTTGAGCATCTGAAAAGGTGCTTCACAGGACCAACAGCGGTATCACATCTGGCCAGTTGGCTTAAGCGCACTTAATCAGCTTTCCGTAATCGATTAACTAACAAAAACTTATTAAAACAAAATACTGTCTGCTTACGAAATTTCCTTCAAATATCTCTAAGCCTGACAGACTGGTTTCAACGTACAAGTGGATATGACAAATCCAGTCAACTTCTCATCTTCATGAAGTAGATTTAAATTTCGACGCGTCTCCCTATCTGATATTTTCTCACGAATTAATATAGTTGTAATACAATAATCATTAAAGGAATATAATTTTAGACTCAAACAAAAAAGAAACACACAAATTTTTATTCTAATTTTATTCTTCTTTGATACCAGGAGGAGTTTTTATTACTCCAAAATTTTGATTTTTCAGAACAAACCTGTGTTGGTAATCCAGCAACACCTGAGTAGGCCAAACCTTGTGGTATAACCGTTAAACCGACAGTTATGCCCGCTATTAAATCACCAATTGCATCACTACGTGTATAGCGGGGCAGCCACGTCAAGATTGGGAAACGTTTGTAGAGTGTCTTTTTGCGAAAAATATTCTTTACACCGGATTTAAGGAAATCGCTAACATTACAGCCTTTCTTCGATGTTTTATGATCGGTAATGAGTATAAATTCTTTCGAGCCATTTAAATGTGTTTCCGTGGGTTGATCAATTTGAGAACGCGTCTTAAATTCTTCTGCCGTTTCAACACTTGACATATTCCGTTTTCCTTTATTGCTGTTTTTCAACACTTATTCAAATATTTAAATTTTTCTATTTGAAACACTATATATGTATTTTGGTATTTTTTATATATATTTTTTTAATTTTTGTTTATATTTTATTTCTTTCGTTTTCGTTTTAATTTATTTACTTTTCTTAAATTTTCGTATAAATATTAAGATTTTATTCTCAGCTAATTTTAATTATTTTGCCTTACAATAGTACAATCATTTCATTCTCAAACACCGTGAAAAAATCGAGCCGCCGATCCTCACAGAACCAAACGCGTCAACGTACGTGAAGAGAGTAATTCTCTGGATGGGAAAAGTATCGCGCTAACGCGTTGTCACCTGCGGTTGGCTAGCAAAGGCTTGTTAAGAGTGCTGATATTTATAATAAACAAACATTCATACGCAGTGGCATTTGTAGTTCGTATTTGCGCTAAGCACGAGCCTCCATGCAAAAAAAAAAATAATAAAATTTGTGTTTGCACACATACATAGAGTATTTGCTTAAGACAAATTGTAGTATTCAGATAACCAAAATCATTTGGCTTGCTTGGTAAATATACGCAATCTTCAAATATGATTGAAACCCCGCTTGACAATAATTTTTAATTCATCACTTAGACGCTTAGTTACGAATATATTGATCTTTATTTGTGATCATATGATTATTCTAATATTGTATTTAGTAAAAAAGAAAGACAAGAAAGAAGCTCAGCATGCTGTAGTGTGATGAATCATAGCCAATAAAGGCCTCTACAGGCCTATTCTGTCGGGGTAACAAAATTTACTTAGGTATTGAAATTTACCATTCAGTAAATTTTGTTACCATTTCGTATTCTAAGCTCACTGCTATCCTGTAAATTTTGGTGACAATATATCTGCTGTTTGATTTTGTGTTGTTGGTATCAGAAAAAATAAAAACCAAAATGGGTAGACATATTTTAGGCCTGGAATTCATTGAAGATGAAGAAAAAAGTGCAAAAAGCCGTATTTTAAGAAGTTTTCGAGACAAAAAATAGCCCTTTAATTTGTAAGATAACGTTTTCATTCCATAATAAGGCTCAAATATTTATAATTTAATAAACATATTAATAAAACTTTTTAATATTTTTGTGCACCGTCTTCCATTTCGATGTGGATATTTTTCTTTTTACTTTGTCAACTGGCAAATTTAATTTGACATGGACGAAAAAAGCAGTGCTGCCAAATTTTTTTCAAACATTGTAACCAGTTCGCCAGAATACCAAATTCAATTTCGGGTGTTAAAGAAAAGTAACAAAAATTAATTTACCGGTAACAGTGAGAATGGGCCTGTTAAAAGCAAATAGAGAAATATCGCCAGTTTCGATGATATTATAAGAATATCTCTATGGGGTTACTGGATAATAAAATATGAGAATGTCACGAGTATTGACAATTTTATAATAGGTTTTCTACACCAAAACATTTATTGAAAAAAATTTAATAATCCGCGAACTTTATTATATTAACATGTTTCCCAATGCATACAGAAATGGATCTTCGAACGATTTCTAATGCTTCAAAGTGCATACACAGCAATCAATTGATATTATTTTAAGTTTTTTAGTTTTGTCGTCCTTCTATGATAAGAATAAATCAAAATTTAACCTCTTCGATTTGTGACCCATTGTGTAATATTCCCTTTATTTCAACAATTTTCTTAAATTCGAAGTTTCCGGCATATGGCAGCACTGCCGAATTTCTAATCTATATCAATTTTGAATCTATTCGATTAAGACATTGAGCATGACTTTAGGCATACACTGACAGTATATTTCTTTTACATAAGCGACTGTAAAACTGTTGGCAACTCTGTTGTTTTAAAAATTCAACTTTTGTACATTTGCCTTGAACACATAAAGTGTCACCTTTTTGCGATTTAAGAGGAGATTATAGTGCATCATTATGACAATGATAACTAAAAATGAAACTCTTTATTCCGCGAGAGCGCAAAAGAACCCGCACTTTTTATAAAACTTCTGAACAGTGTCACTGTGATAGAAAAATGACTTCTTTGGATTTTTAGGTATTTTTTGGATATTTTATTACAAACAACGACATCTTTAATAGCAATTTCGCTTAAATATTTTATTAAGAAACTATTAAATATTGAATTATATTAAGTTTTAACAATAAAATTACAATAATTTCTTTAATATTTACTGCTGAAGCAAATTTCTTTTGAAAGAAAAAAATAAAATTTTTTTTTTATTTTTTTATTTTATTTTGACAGATGTTGAGCGTTCCTCGATCTGACACTGCTGCCAACATTATAATGTGAGATGGGAGAACGCTCTCAGCTGCAATTTGAGTGATTTTGAGTAAGCTTCGTATAAAGTCATCTTTGATTATAATCCAACGACTCAATTTATTGGTAAAAATTTTAAAGAAGTTTGAAAAGACTGGATCAGTTACAAATATTATAAGCACATTTCTTCTCAAATATTGTTACCGTAAGGGGAAAGTTTAGCCGAAGACTCGAAAATGTGTTCTCGAAGTTCTCCAAAAACTGACACTTCTCTCCGGCACTTTATCGCTTATTTTGCACTTGGACTTACAGCTAAACCTATATGAAGCCCAGCTTACACAATAACTGAAGCCAACTGATTATTCTCAATGCTGTGGACGGCGATTTTTCGAAATTTTCTTCATCGACGAGGTAAATTTCTAATTAGAAACAAAATGCTCACATTTGTGGGTTTGAGAATTTGTAAATAATTGAAGTGAGGTCATTACACCTAAAAAAGCTTAGCGCCTAGTGCGCTCTTTGGTGTGGAGATACGATTGAATTTTACTTTTTTGGAAACAACAACAGCGAGACTGTCACTGTCATTTTGAAGCTTTCCAGTCGTATGATAGCCGACTTTTTTTTGGTCAGCAATTGAAGAACACCACTTGAGAAATATGTGGTTTCACCAAGACGATGTTACAGCCACACAACCCGAACGAATATTGGTTTATTGCGGCTGCATAATCTTCCGTCTTGGCGATGTCAATTGGCCACCGAAAACGGTCGGTTTGACACCCATGGATTTTCTTGTGAGGCTACACGAAGGACCGTGCTCATTCGGATAAATCTTTTTCAAGAACAAAAACCTTTGAAAATCCATATTTGTATTTTGGCTGAGACCGCCCAATATGTGCCAAAAAATTCCCCCAACGAATTCGCGAGGCGATCATTTACATGATATAGGTTAGGAATCTAATAGAGACAATTATTTTATATGCATTTATTTTCGAAACCTTGTACTTTAGAATATTCTACGAATGAAAAATAGTCATTAATGGATGGCGGAAAACATTTGAAATCTATTTTTTTGCTCGAATAAATCAGTGATAATGTGAAAATGAAACCAAGAGTTCGTGTTTCTAAAAACTGGAAAGATCACCATTGGGTAAATCCAAATAAATAAATAAATAAATAAAAATGTGCGCTGAAAAAATTTATTTACCTTCCTCTTTCAAATTTATTCATTAGTTTTAATTTTTTACGTTCCGAAACGAGAAAAAAACTGTAAATATTTGAACAAATGTTATTATTTCAGTTTTTTATTTGTTAATGAAATAGATTTTTATGTAGAAACAATATTTATTAATTTACAATTTGTTTTCATGCTCCGAAAAGATGGTAGGGATTTGGCAAACATTATTATAATTATTACTAACAGCCTTTCCTTTCGATAAAAAAAGAAAAAGAAGCCCGTATGAAGTAGTAAATCGGCCCAGGAAAGGTATCGGACTCATCATATCAGGCAATGATGGCACTAATAAGATACTTCAATACCGAAAGAGTATGATCTTTTGATCTGTTCTAGGTAACAATAGTGGCTTCCGTCTGAACATAAAAACGCTTCCTCGTACGAAAACATATTTATACAAAAAAAACCGCTACTCAGGATTGAATTACTACTTTCCTATAAAACAGTAGACAATGTTGCTTCAAACTCATAATGTTTTGTACACAACCACAAGTGTACGTTAATAGTTATTGCTTATAAAGAAATATAGACTTAAGTAGGTATAATATTCATAAAATTATTATCTTTAATGCTGCGGTAAATAGTAGCCAAACTATACAAATCACTGCTGGAATTTCTTTTGAAGCTCTAAATTACTTTGTAAACTAAGAAGAGAACACATCAAAAACTTATTAAGAACTCTATTTTTTCATATTTTTTTAAGAAGAAAATAGCCAAATCTTGTGAGAGCCAAAGAGGTGGTATAGCGATTGGTACCCAGACTACTTGGTGTACGTAGGGAACACTTCTCCTGACTGCTAAATAGCAATGAAAATGGAACAACAGGAGATGACAGCTCAATTCTTCAATCGATGACGATGGAACGGCTGTTTTCCTGCTTATGAGGCAGTTCAAAAAGCAGTTGGCTGCTTGAATATCAAAAAAGGGAAGGAGGCCGGCAAAGTAATTAAAAAACTTGCGGCGAGAATGCGCATGCATCAGCTTCATTGCAAACCAGAGTCCGATGATGACAGGTCGCACGATTGGAACCCAAGTGTGTTCTGCCCAATACATTAAAAGGTGGACGATTGCTCAAATAAGTCTATCGCATATACGATCCTAAGGAGCGTAATGTGTGAAAGACTGAAGCAAGCGTACTGCCAAAAAATGCGATTGGACCTTGCCAGTGTGCTTTTAAACCTGATAAATATACCATTGATCAGGTATTCGCCATGCGCCAAATCTTGGAAAAGATCCGAAAAAAGAAAGGAGGATCAACACACACCACCTCTTCGTCGGGTTTAAAGCAGCCTTCGACAGCACGAGAAAGGGCTGTCTCTATACCGATATATGTGAATTCGGTATCCCTGCAAAATTTATACAACTGTGTAACTGTTACAATCGTGAAGGTGTCTTTGCGAGCCGTTCGATACCAAGCGAGGTTTAAGACAAATTGATTCCTTATCGTTTGACTTCTTTAAGCTGCTGCTGGAGAAAATAGTAAGAGCGGCTGAGCTGAATAGATAAAGTACAATATCCTATAACGGTGTACAACTGCTGGCGTACGCCGAAGCGAATGGGTCTGTTAGCGAATATC